CGGAACTACAAACTCAATTTTTGGTTTGGTCGGAAACAAAACCAATTCTGAATAATGTGAAATATGGAAGTATTCATGCTTAGTGGTTTGGTTCTCTTAAAGGAATAATTCATCCAAAAATGAAAATTGTGAGAGATTTTACTCATCCTCAGGCCAGTTTGATTTTCATCAGAACAGATTTGGAGAACTTCTCTAATTTATCCTCTGCAGTGAATGGGTGCCGTCATTGAGAGTAAAACATCATTATTGTGATGTTTTTATCAGCTGTTTGGACTCTCATTCTGACGGCAGCCATTCACTGCCGTCAGAATGCAACTGCCATTGCAGAGGATCCATTGGTGAGCAAGTGATGTAATGCTACATTTCTCCCAATCTGTACTGATGAAGAAACAAACTCATCAACATCTTGGATGGCCTGAGAGTGAGGAAATTTTCAGCAAATTGTTTTTTTGGGTGAACTATTCCTTTAAAAGGTAAGGAGTCCAAAACAGTCTCCTGCAAGACACTTGACAGTAAAGTGAAGTATAGGAGCTTAGTTAATCCCCCATCAATATTAGAATGAATTTGAGGAGAACTGTGATGTACATGCATGAGCCCAGCCTGTAGGGGAATTCGATTGAACCGGCCCATCAAAACAACGTTCTTCAAAACTTGAGATGAAACGAAGAATGAAGGAGAGTCTTGAGGTGGCTACAACTGGGTCAAAGTCTTTCGGCACATCTTTCAGGATGAAAAACTCCACATATACAAAAAAATCGTGGATTGATCTGAAGATTGTAATTTCACTGACAAAGTGAAGAGTAGTATATACGCATTCTTACAACAGAATGCATCTTTACGCATTACCGTAGCTGCTTTCTTTCCATCCTCAGGATGGAAAAATATAACTATACCCACTATGAAAAAAAAAAACTGCGTGACCTGGATTGTTATTTCTATTTATGTCCACAAAATATAGAGGCAGATTAATGCATCCCTGATGACATTATAACAAAAGATGATGATTACAGGCGGTTCAATCGAAATCCCACAGGCAGTGTAGTGTAATGCACTGAAAACAATACAAGGGCCCCAATAAGACTGGAAAAAGCTTTTGGGTTTGTTGGCATGAGCGCAGTTGAGGTCAAATCAGTGAACATTTAGGTTTGTGAGAATTTCTATAACACACAATAATGTGCATTGCAGCAATCACACTGTAAAAGCCTAAATGAAGCCTAATGTATGAAACACGATACATAGTTTTGACTGTCATAATAAAACAAAATGCTTTCCATTGGTTGAATATGCAGCAAGCCTGCAGTAAAAAAATGAATTTAAACATAGTAAACCCTGACACAAGTGTAAACGCCAGACCAAGCACGAACAAGAGTGTAACTACCGAAAACGTAGCACATTTTGATAAAAATGCAATTTTGAAACCCCAAGAAAGTGGATTAATGATAGTTAAACATAAGTGAAATCATCTTATATGTTTTTCAGATTCACCCTGATTTACGCGGCAATGAAAAAAGACTAGTCTCAGGAAGAAAGTGAACAAAGAACAGGAAGAAAATACATGACAGCAGATACTGCTGTAAAAAGAAACTAAATCAGGGCATGATTGTGCAAGTCTGTTGAGGCACATGCACAGTGGATCCCACCCAAACTCCACCCATATTGGCCTGATGGGTGTTTGAGGCTCAGCGAGGCAGCTAAACGCTCAGAATTAAGCGAATGAATGGCGTGTGTCATACAGTGATGATGGAGCATCCGGCTCTAGAGGGTTTAATCTGGCATAAGAGAGGGGTGGTGGTCGAGGAAGGGGAATCTGAGGTAGAAAGAGCCGACTAGGAGTGGACGACTCCGTTCTTGGGCAAATCAGGGCTGCTGGCCACCTGTTCGGAGGACAAACTGAGAGATGACGTCTTACTGGTCAGCGAGGACATGCTGCTGCTGACGAAACCACGGTCCTGGACCAAACTGATGGAGCCGTTTGAGCCCTCACTACAACCAAAGAGAGAAAGGCGATGAGAACTACTGTGATGGACACAAGAAACCACATGTGACCATACATGTATTTGAATTTCTTTCAGTGGATGTAAACCATGTACTTCTGAAAGCAAATCTTGACTTCAAATAAATAGCACTTGCACACTAAAATTATATCTTTATTTTTCTTTTGATTTAAAACACATTTTAGTGAGATTCACGGTTATATTTCACCTAAGAGTGAGTGGATGCTCATCTCGCTGTAGAGTGTGTTCGTCTTGTCCATTTTCGACTGAGACCCGCTTGTACTTGCCATCGTGGTTCTCCTGAAGGCAAAATAATGTAAATCACATGATTTCCTGAACTTCACTGAGTGAACAGAGATATAAATTTACTCAAATTACACTCAACAGTACCAGTAAAAAAAAAAAAAAAAAAAAAAACTCTTACAAATGACCTTGCTTAAAAATGGATTTTCTGCTCAAGAAATGGCCGCAGTCGCATGAATCATTCACCGGTAATAGAATATATTAATTATGAATAATTAATAGAAGCTCTATAAATTGCATGTCTCGCTTACCATGGCCATCTC